CCTAACTCACTAACTAACTCACTTCGTAACTAATTAAACAACTAACTAACCAACTAACTAGCTAAACACCTACCCAAATGGCTATCTAACTAACTAAATAACTAGCTGAATAAATTACTAACTACCTAAAAAGCCAATTTTGTAACTAAGTCTCTAACTATATCAGTAGCTAATTAAATAAGCAAGAAACTAACTAACAAACACCTAGCTAACTAACGAAATAAATAACTCGGTAAATAAATAATTATCTGAATAACAAGCTAACTAACGATCTCACCTATTAACTAACGAATGAACGAACTAACTGACTGAGCAACTAACTAAGTAACTGCCAAACTAACTTACTAATTAATTAATTAGTTAATTAACTAACTAACTAGCTGAATAAATAAGTATGTAACAAACCGACTAACCAAAAATGAATAAAGAAATAAGTTACTTACAAACTAACTAAGTAACTGACCAACCAACTAATTAACTAACTAATTGAATAACTACCTGATCAGCTAACTAACTCAGTTACCAACTAAATCACTTACTAACCAACTAACTAACTAAATGAATAAATGAGTGACTAACTATCTAAATAAATAATTAGGTGATTAACTAACATCCCAATCAACTAACTTACTAACCAACTGACTAACTAACCAAAAATTCAACTTACTAGCTAGCTAAATGTGTACCTAACTACCTAACTATCTCAATAAACAAATAACTAACTCAATAAATAAATGACTTCATAAAAATTTAATTCTCTAACTGCATAACTAGCTAATTAACTAATTAAGTTACTATGTAACTAACAACTTACTGACTAACTAAATAACTAACTGACTACTTAGATAAATATCTCACCAAATAACTAAATAACTGACTACTTAATTAACTAACTAACTAACTAACTAACTAAGCAACTCACTTACCTAATAACTAACAAACAAGCTAACTAACTAACTAACTAACTAAATAATTAACTAAATAACTCACTAACCAAAATACTAACAAACTAACTAACTAGCCAATCAGCAAATCAAGCAACTGACGAACTTATTAACTAACAAAGTATCTATCAAACTAACTAGCTTACTAACTGACACGCTAACTAGCTGAATAACTAACTATCTAAAGAACTAACTCAGTGACTAACTAAATTAGCAAATAAATAGCAAACTGACTAGCTTACTAGCCAACTTACTAACTAACTATCTAGCTAATTAACTATGAAGTCAAATAACCAACTAATTTACGAAGTAACTCAGTAACAACTTACAGACTAAATAACTAGCTAAGTAACTAATGAAATTACTAACTAACTAAATAAGTAACTAACTAGCAAAGTAATTGGCCATATGATCAACTAACTAACCAATTAACAAACCAACTAATTAACTAGCTGACTAACTAACTAACTCACTAATTATTCAACTAACCAGCTAGCTTACTACCTAACTAACTAAGTAACTAACTAACTAAGAAAAAACTGATTAACAAATTAAGTAACCTCCTAACTAACTAACTAAATAGCGAACAAACTCTCTTCTTAATAGTTAAGTAAGAATTAACTACGTAATTAGCTAGCTTATTAACTACCTAACAAGCTAATTATTTTGCCGCTTCACATTAAACTATGATTGTAATCACAAATATTTTAATTGCATTTCATACTACTATTATTATTTCATGTATTCACACCTTTGACCTAATTCCCTCACCGGATATAATTTCTTAAAAACCATAAATAAACGATTGTTCAACTTGATAATAAATTCTTTGGAAAGAGTCTTTTCGCTGAATATTGTAATCTCAAGCCAATTACTACCTAACTAAATAACTAACCAACTAAATTATGCACTAACTACTTAAATGACTAACTGAATAACTAACTAACAAACTACATAACTAACTAGCTACCTGATTGACTCACTAGGTATCTTAGCAAATAATTAAATAACTAACTGAATAAATGCATAACTAACTACCTAACCAACTCACTAAGAAACTAACTGGCTTAATAACTGACCAACTAACTACCTAACAAGTTAACTAACTACCTTACCCTAAAACTGCATAACTACTTAATTAACAAACTAACTAACTAACTAACAACTAACTAACTAACTGACTAACTTACTATCCAACAATCTTAATAACTAACTATCTAACCAAATAACCAACGGACTAACACAGTAATTATGTAACTAGCAGGATAACAAGCTAACTGACCAAGTAACATAATACGTAAGTAGCTAACTAACTAGCTAACTAACTAACTCACTAATTATTCAACTAACCAGCTAGCTTACTATCTAACTAATTAAGTAACTAACTGACTAAGAAAAAACTGATTAACAAATTAAGTAACCTCCTAACTAACTAAATAGCTAACAAACTCTCTTCTTAATAGTTAAGTAAGAATTAACTACGTAATTAGCTAGCTTATTAACTACCTAACAAGCTAATTATTTTGCCGCTTCACATTAAACTATGATTGTAATCACAAATATTTTAATTGCATTTCATACTACTATTATTATTTCATGTATTCACACCTTTGACCTAATTCCCTCACCGGATATAATTTCTTAAAAACCATAAATAAACGATTGTTCAACTTGATAATAAATTCTTTGGAAAGAGTCTCTTCGCTGAATATTGTAATCTCAAGCCAATTACTACCTAACTAAATAACTAACCAACTAAATTATGCACTAACTACTTAAATGACTAACTGAATAACTAACTAACAAACTACATAACTAACTAGCTACCTGATTGACTCACTAGGTATCTTAGCAAATAATTAAATAACTAACTGAATAAATGCATAACTAACTACCTAACCAACTCACTAAGAAACTAACTGGCTTAATAACTGACCAACTAACTACCTAACAAGTTAACTAACTACCTTACCCTAAAACTGCATAACTACTTAATTAACAAACTAAGTAACTAACTAACTAACTAACTAACTAACTAACTAGTTAACTAGCCAGCTAACTACCTATTTTATTTACAACAAATAAACTGTCTAAGAAACTAAATAACTAAGTGACAAACTAATTAAGCAACTCGCAAACTATCTAATCAACTACCAACTAGCTAACTAACTAACTAACTATCTAACTAACGAACCATCTAACAGAATAACTAAATAACTACCCAACTAACTGACTAACTTACTAACCAGATAACTCACTGACTAACTCACCTATTAACTAACTATCTAACCAAATAACTAAGTAACTAAACAACAAACTATCTAACTAACTTACGAAGTAAGTAAATACCTAAATAACTAAATAAACAATTAAATAACTAAATAACAAACTAGTTAACTAACCCCTAACTCACCAATTAACCATCTAACTGACTAACTAAATAATCAACTAAATAACTAACTGACTAATCAAGCAAGTAGGGAACTACCTAAATAACTAACTAATTAAATGACTAACCAACCAACTAACCATTTAAGCAACTAACTAACCAGCTAACTAACCAATTGGCAAACTAACTAACAAACAAAATAATTAATTAACTGTCAATTTAACTAAATAACTTACTAACTAACTAGCCAATTAACTAACCACACAACTAACTAACTAAATAACTAACCAAGTAATTAACTAGCTAACCAAATAACTGACTAACTAACTAACTAACTGGAAATTTACGTACCTAACTGACCAACCAACCAACGAACTAACTACCTAACTAACTAGCTTACTAACTAAGTAACTAATCAACTAACAATTCACGTAGCTAACTAACTAACTACCTAACTAACCGTCTAACTAACTTCCTTACTAGCTAACTAACTAACTAACGAACTTACCAACTCACTAACTAACTTGCTAACTAGCTAACTGAGTACCTTAAGAACTAGACAAATAACTGACTACCTATCTAACTAACTAACTAACTACCAAACCAACTAACTAAGTAAGTAACCAACTAACTAAGCAATTAACTACCTACGTAGCTAAAATACTAACTAACTGTGAAAAACTGGCACTAGTACACACGAACTATATTTACTAAAATCATTTCTTTCCACTATCCCAATTCACTTTGTATATAAATTCTTATTTTGTTCAACTTTTTAAACTTATTTACAGATATTGGACGTCATATTTGGGAACATAGAGGAGGTGGTTTGTTTTCACTCAGTCGAGAGAATGCATTATTGAGATTTTTGTTGGAAACTCCAAATGCGATTGATATTGAAGTGGATTCTAGGCGTCAGTTGGATAGTCAATTAAAATATACATGTGAATTACTTATTGAACAACAGGTAGCACAATTAACAGGTGAAATGTCAAATTTCCTTAAAAGAGTAAGTATAATATTGGCGATCTATGCATGGTGTATATTTCCTAGTAAGTCCTTGATTGGACACTGACACTAGTGTCATGTGTCTAATCTTCTGTCTACTGCTAACTGAATTCTATCAGTCAATTTGGCAATGTGAACACCGTGCTAACTGGCTCGCTGATGAGTGCCAACTAGCACGAAATCTAGGTTGAGGAAGGCTTTCTGCCGACTGCCTCCAACCATCTAATATCATCAAGTTCCATTTTTTTGCTACAATTGAATTTAAAATACTTTTCCTGTCTATAATAAATAATTTCCAATGAAATGTCCAACTTCTTTTTGTTTTCTGATGACGAATAACAATCTATTCTGTTTTGTTTCCTTTATAGATCCGTCTCTTATTTCAAGATATTTGGATTCCATGACCTATAATTAAATCGACTTTGTATTTGACAGTGGTTCATTGTGACTATTTGTTTCGCCTTGTTTCAATGATTCATCTGTGATTTCATGGTGACTGTTTTCCAACAAAAATCAGGGAGAACCAACAGTAACTGATTGAAAATTAAAATGACAACATTTCTATCATAAACCAAACAATCTATTTTTTTCTCAATTAGACGTTGAAAACAAAAGAGTATATTAACATAATATACGACTAAACTATACAACACTTTCACATCGGCGTGTTAGAAAAATGACTAACCGTTAAAAATAATCAATACTTGCTCATAATATAAATAAACAGTGTGTATTAAGCAATGTAAAGTGGAAAAGCAGGCTAATGAAACAGTACATTGATTCAATTTCTCCTTATGTTGTCATAACGCACATACACGCATACGCACACACACACACACACAAACAGGCATACATGCACACATAAATGCAACATGGATACATACTACCTTCATTCAGGCATACATGCATATAGGATGGTCACTAGAAGAAATCGTTTAATACTTGAGAGTAGAAAAAATAGCGGTTATTGGTCGACACACTGAAGTGAAAACAGATGTTTTGTCCTTTCTTCAAATTATTGTTAGTGTTGTTGGTTGTGGTGTTGGTCGTGGTGCTGGTAGTTGTCATGGTGACGCCTGTGGTGGCTGTAGTGTAAGTATAAAAGCAATACAATCAGGTGTTAATTACGTCTACGTTCCAAAGCTGCTTGTTTCAGGGTGTAAACTTTCTTGTATAAATATTAGTAAAAATCATCATCATAATAAATGTTTGTCAACGTTGTTAAGAAATAAACTATAGAAAAGTGTTCCAGAAGAGATTTGTGCATTGTATTTTGGTTACAATGTCTTAGAATTAACGAAAAACACTAACAACTTGTCTAGCAAAAACATTTTGTTCAATAATTTTCTAGCAAACAACATAATTGGCAAGTCGCCATTTTAGGATAAATAAATAAAACAAGGGAAGAGAGGTTTGACAGCTCATCATCACCGGGAAACGCTTCTTCTAAAGCAGCTTTTTCGTCCTCTTTTCTGTCAAATTCTTCAGAACTATAAAGAAAAATTCAAACCAATAAAGAACAATACAGTTTCTTGTTTAATCCCATTATTATCTCCATTGACGAATTAATAAATATATAATGAGTGAAAGAAAACATTTGAATATCTTAATATTTCTGTGTGTGTGTGTGTGTGCATTTATATGTTCACTTCCATTATTTTCTTTCCTTATTTTCACATTTCATTTGTCACAACGACTGTATGTCACATAATCATTCAGTTGCATTGAAAATAATTGTCTCTCAATCAGAATTCTTTAATCCTTTTTAAATGACTAATAGCTGGTCCAGCGATCGATCCCCAGCTGCCCACTCCTGAACCTCGCTCATCCACTAATATGCCCGATGAACAGGCCAGGTTCCGTTCGAAGCTAGCAACCAATCCACCCCGTAAAAACAATAAACCACTGCCACTGAAACTTCATGATTCAAGCTTAAAGTCCTATCTTCCAGTGTCAACGCAAAGGAAGTTAAAGAAGTTAAATTGAAACTAAGTATCATCATGTGTTTGAACTGTGAATTACAAGTTATGCATAGATTAATTATTCAGAAATGATAAACATCACAATGCCTGATATAATTTAGTCTAAATTGAAGTTTTTCTTGAAATAAGATACTAGCATTGTCCGTCAAGGCAATAAATATCTCCCACAGCCTGATATAACATGAAAGTCTCGAACTTAGTCTTTCTTCTAACAATAAGTGTTAGCAGTGCATCATCCTCTTATTTTCTTTGTCTGTTTCCAAGTTATTATGCATCTCAGTTAAGCTGATTGGACTATATTTTATTCAAGTTCCGAAATTAAAGCGACAGCACACTTTGGAAACTGCTTTCAGGCTATGAAATATATTATTACTATTTTTATAATTATAATGCCCACCTTACCGTTTTTTAACTATTCATAATTGAAGGATTTTAACATTCTTCCAGGACTATTGCAACTGTAGTTTTGAATGTTACGATTTATCAAAATGCTTCTTGTTTGTGTAGAAAGATTGTCATCCATCTTTGTATAACTAAATGTGAATGAATATTTTTGAAAGAAATGAGACAGAAATTTCTCATGCTTAGCGTAGCTTACAAACATGAACAATGTCATAAAACATAAAAGTTCATTTGTGTCATATGAATGATTTAAAATCCCGCATGAATCAATATTTTGTTATTTACGAATATGCATACATTTTAAAGTTATTCAACACAAAATAGTCTTCAGTTTTGGGTTTATAGGGATTCGGACTGACTTTCGTCAGTGTTCACCTGAAAACTGAAGACCAACATGCAGTTGTTTCTTCCTCCTTTTGTGACATCAATCAGAGTCCATCCTAGGATCTACAGATCATGAGAGAAGTGCATTAGAATCCGGTAACCGAGTTACATCCAATGAGGTGTGAATTCCAACTTCTGTAAATTCGAGATACGACTCAATTCAAACTTAAGTCGTTGAAGAGTATCTATCCCCTAATTCACTGACGTGTATCTCAATAGTCATCATCTATGTTAAGATGTCCCATTAAAATTCAGTCACCCCAGTAGAATGAAAAACATTCTCAATGTTCACTCATCAATCTCGTTACAAACTGATTTTAAAAAATCACAATTTTCCAAATCCAACAATTTATCCCGAGTTGGGTTTCCAGTGGTCTTATGTCATTGGTTTCGGAGTTCACTATGACATGTTCGTGGACGACAGCACACTGGTGACTATAGATAACGACTGGTGAAATCCCCAGTTATTGAAGAAATCAAGTATCTTTTATACACATATGTGTGTGTTTCCGATGGACAGAGAGAATTGGCTAGATTTGGTTTGCAGGTTACCTAGCTTCTGTGCACCCATGACCATATTAGCTTATGATGTCAGCCCGTTGTACATCCAGCCATCCGGCTGTAGTTCAATGATCCGTCAATTCCAACTTCTCTCCAATCACGAAAAAGCTTCCTTACCACTCACGAGTATCTATTCCACTAACCACGATTTCTAATTGAAACCCCACAAACACCATCTCAAAGTCAGAAATCAGTAGTAGAATAGTTTTATAATGACTTCCTTGAGTTTCAGTGAGAAGTCGTGACCAGTGTCTGTCTGGTGCTCCCTGATTTCCAGTGGTTCTCTAAATCATGTCAGCTCGTATAGTAACCTATCTTGACACTAATCAAATCCCTACACACTACACAGTGACTTCAAAAATATCCGTAATACTCGGTCTGTCAAAATCCCATAAAACTCACTAAACTCTCATAGTCGAATGACTAAACATTCATACTTAAAATAATATTATATCCGGTAATTTACTATGAAGCATAAATATACAAACTAACAAACTGAAAGTAAAAATAACTTGTTTTCAAAATGCACTGCAACTGGAAGACATACATTTCATTTGTTTGTATATTGAAGCGTTCCCTTAAATCGTCACATCCTTTCCATATTCTACTGTTATCGGTCACAATACTGTCAGATTTCAATTTCAATTCTGCACTCGATTCATAATCCATTAAACTCAGACGATCCTTCTGATCACGATCATGATGATGATGATGATGATGATAGGAATTCATTGCTCCACCTAATTGGTTACTGCAAATAGTATTGCCAAACGGCTTCCTTGATGTTGTTGCTTTCATTGAATGTGATGATAAAGTTGGAGAAGCGAACATCATGTTCTCTTTGTTCATCTCATCATGATTGATTGTTTTATAACCCTGTGTATCATCACAAGTTATTCTCCTTCTAAATTAGGTTTTTTACATTCATAGAAAGAAACAACAACAAACACGCATATCATTATGTGTACATTGACAAAAGCAAAAGCAAATGCAATAAAACACATTCCAGCTTCGTTTCCTAACAATAATGCTCATGACTTCTGAGCATTTCAAAAGGTTTAAGAAGATTATGGACAACGTCAGTCATAACACCCATATGAGATACTTGTGTCTCATTAGTTAGCACTCACTGCATCACATTCCCCTTGATTACTTCCTTTCAGTTTTGAGCACTGATGCTATCTGGTATGTCACTCGAACATTCAAATGCCTACTAATAATTTCGTCTGAATTCCAACTCATTGATAATCTACAATATATCAGTAGCTTAACAGCATACCGAATACAGCTAAACTCAATTATCGCGCCTCTCACTTGACTCCTCATTACAACAGCTGGTTAGTGCTTAGTCTTCAAATGTCTACATAATTCAATTCATTCCATCGTAAAACGAGAGCGATAAATTATTGTATTGTATGGCTAAATGAAATTGACGGCGATGGGGAAATTCGAAGCAATGGCTGTGGAATTATTACCCTGGAGATTGTGATGATCCATTGGGCAGAAAACTCACTGCGTTTAGGATCATCGACTCATCCATTGAACCAACATTGAATTACTATGATAATAATAAAACTGATGACCTGTTTGACTTGGTGTCATGGCGAAGTAAGAAGAGCTTTCTTAGTTATCTCGAGTATGCTGATTTATATCTTCCCATGGTTTAAATCTAAGTGTCACCTACAATCATCATCACCTGTGACATTTATACCTGTCTGTCATTCCAAAGTTATCCTATATACTTTCATCAAGGCACAGATGCATTGTGAAGACAATTCATTGTATGAATTAATCTTCTCCTCTGCACTTTCCATTCGCTAGTCACTTCAGTCATACTGAATTCATCGTAAATTAAAACTAAGCATTTCTACACACAGTTTTACATGAAAAGAAATGCTTTATGGAGAATAGTGTTCACTGACTGGCGTCAGTGTTGTTCATTACATTGGATGTTTTGAAACTATAGGTATTGGGAAGATAATTAATAAAAACAGGAGTTAGGTTTTATAGAGCAAGTTGTGAAGTCTTGTTAACTGACTGATACGATGATAGGCGATAAATTCGTCTCGAGACACCATTCAATCATTAGCACTGTATCACATTCTCTGATACAATCGAATAAGCTAATCAAACATGGAATCATATTCTGCTGTTTCTGCATTCTCTCCCTACATGAATTTCGTAAACTTTCCGCCCTGAAATGGCTGTTTCGTCCTAATTTGAGATTGTTCGTCAAAGCGGACCCGTCGGGGTTTGGATCCGCGAATTTCCAGTTAACAGTCAAGCTAGCAGACCATTCAGTCACCGCGGTACCTCAGTGGTTCAGTAGTAGTAGGAGGTTGGCCAACGTCGCAAGTGGCCCGGGTTTCGTACACAGCTGATGCACTCCTTCACCTCAATTAGCCTGTAGTGATCGCTGTAAAGAGGGAAGGTGAGGAGTGAGGCTAGCAACACCATCCCGTAGAAATAGAACCAGTGCTACTGAAACTTCAATGCTCTAGCCTGAAGCCCTATGTTCCACTGAGAAAGCAAAGCAACGAAATACTACTACAACTACTATTACTACTACTACAAATAATAATATCAATAATAATAATAATAATGATAATAAGATCTATTAAAAAAATGAGAATACACTTCACTATTGTTGTGAGATCTAGTTGTCATCGTGCTTTTTTCAACTAAATAATATCATAATGAGTCAGTAAAACGTAGTCGCTATGTTCTCGATTATTTAATGGACTTGTGAAACATGTAATTTGCAAATATGCCTACAACATCTGACTGACTGACTGACTCACCTATTTGAAAATCTCTCTACCTCTTTGTATTCATTGTTCCACTTGAAAATATCATTCGGCCATAATTCACCTGAATTAACTTGATAGCTCACTGAATTTAAACATTTTGAACCATAAATGCTAGTCTCGATTGCTTTTGCTGTATAGTGTGAAGAACAAATAAATATATTTCGATGTACAATATACAATCACAGATAGTAAACAATTCTGACCAATAATGCCTATAATAGAAAAGGAGTTTCGAAATAATTCGACCTGTGGTGCATATATTAATTATTTGCTTCAAATCTCACCTAATTTACCAGCCAGTGGTAAACCCGTAAGAGAACAAACAATCGGCATGAAAGACACACTCCTTCTCCTGAGGAGAAATTCGAAGCACAGGAAAAATAAACTTATTATTTCCCGAAATCAGGAAGACGCGACAATCCCACGATGGATGCAACAGTGTGTGAAAGAGTCCGGGAAGCCAGTTGACCAATAATTGTTCTTACCACGAAAGCAAAATTAGGCTGAGGTAGGCTGAGGACAACGTCCACACCGTGTTTCACGTTAGCTGACAAGGCTGATCAGATGTACAAGAAATGAGATTCTCCGATAATGTAACTAACACCCTCCTGCCAGTCTCACATATAGAATTGATTTCGCAGTTATTGCATGGTATTTCGTAAACTACATTATTTTTCCTAATACCATCTATTGGGTCTCTGAGATGATAGAGCTTGTCTCCGGTTCGAATGTCACCTTGTCTTTAGCCTTATCGGGAATCCCACCTAGGACTTCCGATGCTCCTTATTTACATGGCTGCATTAGCATTTATACACAACAGTCATATTTTAATCAGTATGTAGACTGGATCCGTCGTACCCAAAATCGTTGGAGGTTGTCACGCCTGACTTGATTATTCAGATTTAATTAGTGAAATCAAATAAACAAGAAAACCATTACTGCTGGATGACTTCTCATCAGAATTCATTCAAAAGTCTATTAAGACCCATAATAAATGACCCATAATAAGCTAGGATTCACGAGCTCTTAGCCATCATTCGGATTGACATGGATTATTATTGTCCATAATGATGGCTCATTTTTACTATCTTTGCTTGTTCCTACTAATGATAACCATGATTATTCTGATTTCGCGATTCTCACTAACTGTCATACAAACTTTCAATCCTGAGGCATTCGCCTCCTTCTCACCCCGGAATCTCCAACCTGTCGCTAAGCTTCCGGGCCTCATTCCAAGGCTAGTTAGGAATGGAAGGTTGGGGCTGAGGCTAGTCGTCCCACCGAGTAAAAAACAGCCCTAGTGTGACTGTAAACTACGAAACCTTCTGATGACAACTCTCAATAAGTTTGTATACGTCTCTGTTATGACGTCGTCGAGTATAAATACGAATGCTGATTTAAGATGGTGAACACTCGTCACTGATCAATTATACCCTGACTCGAATCTGTAAAATCCAGAAGATCAACATGGTGTGGGGGGGGTGCGTCAATTTCCAAACAAGTGAGATCAAAGAGCGACCATGGTTACAGAAATATGTGATATTTAATGATCCAGTCGAAGGGTTGAATATTAGGCCTTCCCTACATGCTGCATTATGATTGGTTGACGTCCATCAGTTGACATGTGATTTGTTTTCGTCTGACTACAGACTGACAAGATAGAATGTGGGCACATCAGACTGACAGATAAATTGTGAGTAGATTCGGTCTCTAAAAGGTGACCTCGGACAAGACAAATTTATTGGTACAACACACATTCTGGTTTCACCATGTACGATCGATGACTTAAGATGAAGAGAAAATTACAAAGTACAGTGGAATTCACGCCTTTGTATATAAGAACATTTAAAACAGGACATGTTGAGGCTTAGAATTTCCAAATATTTCTATATCATGAATTATGAATGAGTCCGTTTGAAGAAAGAGTACTCCTTTCTCGATACATTCCGAGTTTTCATTTCAAATCTGCCATCACATTCTACGTGCAAATATATACCGTCTGTTTAGCTAGCTGGCTATCATTATCATGATGACAACTGAAACTGAAAATAATCTGTTGGTAAAAATAATCGTCATTCAGTCAGATCTGTAGGTTTTCTTTCATGTCACCAGGTAGAAATAATAAACATTAAATATCTAGTAGTAATAGTGATGTTTATAAATTTATAAATAATAATCATAGGGATTCAGCTTACCATAGTGTAATAATAACTCTTGTATTCTTTGCCACATAATATACAATGAACGAATATTTCTCTCTCTTGTTCTTATCACAACAGTCTGTAAAATAATATAAAGAATGATGCAAGAGTCAAAAGAGTTGAAGAACTCGAATAATGAGTAAATTAAAATCAATGTTGACAGTTAACAGATGACAAATGATTGGTTTGTAGACTCACGAATCCAATCCAACATATATCTCTACACTACATAACTAAGACATGTACTATTTCAGTTCATGAAAAGTCAGTCAGAAGTGGAATGGAAACGCTCATCAGCTGAACGTCTTCAAACGTCATAGTAGGAGATATAGAAAGGTGCCCGATACAATTCTCAAATTACTGATTGCAGACAAAAAAGATTCTTTTCTACAACCTCTTCTTCGCCTCAAATAGCCGAGACTTTATTTACAAAGGGGAGTCAAGTACAGCCAGTGATGTTATCCAGGTTCGCTGGACTCTCCATGGGTTCGTGAACAACACATTATGTTACACTTTTCGGGTGTAACCTTCGGTCATGAATCAATAAGTTCCTTCCACCCGTCAATTATTACTACGCTTCAACGGAGGAAGTTTTCATTTCCTAGAATTGCATGATATTCAACTTAGTACTATATTTATGCATATTATCACTTACACATCTTCTAACTCTAGTCTACTCACCTCAGTCATTTGATATTAGTTGAAAAAACACTAATGTTGTCAACGACGGGTATTCTTTAACTAATAGGGATACACAACCGTGAGACGTGATGGATAGGTTATGAAAAAGAATATTCTTTTCCCACTAGTCAGTCTTTTGTCAGACATTGGAAGGAGCATTTCATTGGAAGAACGAATATTTGCTTAGATGTAATTTCGGTGAATAATTTTTTGTATGAAATTCTAACTACATTTCAGAAGCGCTTCTGAAGTATTCAGCGTTCACTTTACAAATTAATAAACCCAAGTAGAAGGCCCGAAATAGATTCATGTCTGAAAAATATTTTGCCCATTCATTGATTTTAACGGCAGTCTCGTTCGACAGTAACTAACAATAAACAATATCCAATTTATAAATGAATGTCTCGATAGTTTTAACTATCTATCAAAATTAGTGTAATGATAAACTCGAAAATTGATTTGTATTCATTTTGAAAGATTAACACTACCAAATAATGTTTTAATCTTAGGTTGGTGAAGATTCGACTGATTTCAAGTGAGATCACGTCAGGAACCAACACACAAGGCGATTACGTTAAGATTTAACCAGTGGAACAGAGCTCAATGACTCACGAAGGCAGTAAGTTCTTTCTGTGGTCTGGTCACTTGTGAGTACTTCCGAAGAGTCTCGAGCCAAAGTGAAGAGAAAACTATCTAGTACTTCTTGTATTTCAGTGGTTCTCTGACTAATGTCAGATCTTCACTGACGCCGAATAATTATTCTTTCTAGTGAAGTGAATTAATTCATTTACTTCCATCGAATTACAGATTGGTGAATAAATCGTTTCTGGTATTTATATTGATTGAGTATGTTTCTCTTCGTGGAGTTCAGGTAACCACAGGTAACTTGGACAAAACTCCTTCCCACCTATTCGAAAAGCTTTTCATTAACCTTAAATATACAGTTTAACAAAACAAAAGCTGAATGATCATCATCCTATAAAGTAAAGCAAACTGGTATAGGCTATTAGATTTCAGATCAATAGATGAATGGTGATTTGTTCAAGTTGTCACTTTGAAATTCCCGTCGACTAATTTTATTGCACCAAAATGATTAGCTTCTGTTGACATGTTAGCAGCTTCAAGTACAGACACGTCAACAATAGCTTGAGGTTAAAATGATGTTGTTTGGTTGACAGTGGCTAGCAGTGGAATCGAGGAAGTGTGCTCCGTTCAATTTGGAAGTCACCAACCAACTAAATATATGAGGATCTCCTGTGAGGGTGGTGTTGCCTGTGGGATTCACAGTCAGCGGAATTCCCCTGTAAATGCTGAAAGCCTCATGCAATGATCACGATCAGATGTCGAATTTCAATTAAAAATATGAAGTGTCACTGTTGTTGTTCAGCGCTTCCACTAACAGTTCAGTTCCGGAGTCAAAGTTAAGTCATTTTTGAAAACTCTAATGAAATTTACTAAGTGTATTTCTTCTCAAATTTTTACCATATATATATTTATATATACATACTGGGAAAATAGAATATAAGATTTATTAATAACACATACCTTCCGAAATTCTCTTGATTTAGTAGGACGAATAGCCAAACTGACATCATAGGAACGACATAAATCGGTTAGATTCAAACTTCTTAGCCATTCACCTTCTGTGATACTCACATCGAACATCAATACAACTGGCAACAAATTCTAAACAATAATAACAATAATACGAAAATGTCTATTTGTTTAAAAGAAGACAGCCTGAATTTCTGAATATTAAGTAACATAGAAAGTATACTTTGCAGTGATAATGCCATCAATTTCTTTCTCTTCCTTCTATACAAACGACATCCAGCGGAAATCAAATACATTTTTGAATATAGTAAACTAATTGACAATGAATGAAATTTCGATGATAGCATAAATGACACATTACATTCCAGAGAGCAGTCCGTAATATTTTGAAATGTAAATAAAAACAGTTCAGGTGGTTGGAGACAGTTGGCGTCAAGTCGTGCTCACAGGTCTTGTATTTGTTGGCATTCGTCAGCAATGTGTGCGTGTGTGTGTGTCTGTAACTTCAAACGAACTGGTGTCCTCTGGCAGATGTACAGCGCAGACGTCACCAATATGCTGTACGGGCTTATTACAAAGTTCATAGTATTTCTACACGTATTCAACTACACAATTTACATTTTCTTAATGTCAAATCGTGTTGATGAATTTACTCATTATATGTTATAATCCGTTATTAAGTGAATAACATGTACTTAAAGTAATCCACTGATAAGTGACATGAATGCAGGATGCATTCATTAAGTTCTGCTTTCTTAAGGTCTGTTTCTTGTTTCTAATTCGAATAGAGAAATAATTATTTCTAATGTACAGTGACTAGATGATGGTGATAACAAAAACTTACTACCTAATATGCTAGCTGTATTGTCAACAAGTTAAATTCCAGGAGAAAACTTCTATACACAACGTCAAATTAATGTCAACAAGTAAAGTACTCAAACTGTGGAATTGTCGACGAACAACATCCATCGGTTACCCTCTAGCGACCAGTCGACATACTGAACAATGCAAACACTTGCTTTCCTTAGAAATCTTTCTCATCTACTAATTCAACCACCACGACACATAGTGCGAAAAACTCAGTTGGGCCTACTTCTATTCACATGGTTATTTGTTCACTCGTAACATAAGGCGTGTTGCTAGGCTATTCAAAGACGAAGTATTATCAATGAGATAGAATTCACATTCACTTCTTCCCATGAATTCGAATACCTTAACCAACACATCTCATGTTACGAGATTTCATCATCAGCTGACGTCGGTTACAGAAGCATTGGAAAACATCTCGGTACTGGACAGCTGTCTCGTCCTAGTTTCGAACTCTGTGGTGGTACGCACTCACCGACAGGATTCCGACCCACGACATTCAGTCTATCGAATTATTTGTTTGCATTTGAGTAATCAATAAACAGACAGACTCTTAGATAGACAGACAGATAGATAGACGGGTTGGCCAACGTGGAACGCTCTCCACCAACTGACGATTTCATCACGAATTATCAAACTAGGTGGAAAAAACTGGTGTGATTGTAAAGACCATGATGGGTAATTACACCAGTCATCTGTCGTACACTCAGATTCCTGCTCAAATGACTTGACAAGAAATTACACAGTCACCTACTTAATTGAACTGAATAAATAAATAAATAAGTAAATACACAGTATAAGACAGGAAATACTTCCTCGTAGCTACATTTTCACCTCTGAAATCTAATCGCCATCAAGATAATGATGGTTGGATGGTCGGTGATTGAGGCAATTCGGAGAGTAAAAACAATTAAGGGAAGCCGACACTTTACTCAGTTATTCACATGAGACAAATGAGAGGTCAGTTTGCATGTGGAAGCCAGTTAGTTCACCGATGATGATGATGAAAGCAAAAGTAAGCATAAGAACAGAGAATGTACGTACCGTGAGTCAATCTCGTTGACGTGGCTGTCAAGATTTAACTAGATATGAGAAGATATGGTATGGTAGTATTACAATTATGTGAGAGTGGATGGAAAGCGGTAGACTGTTCAAATTGTAAACTGGAGAGTCAATAATCTACTCAGGTCATCCAGACGACAGTCACAAATACACTGAGCCTATTGCTATCAGGGATGTGGACAACATCATAAATGGCTCTCATGCAGTGAGAAACAATCTCCTCCACCATGAGAGAAAGATTCAACTCATATGGAACGAGAGCAGCAATGTCACAGAGCTACAAACAATGATGCAAACAAGCCAGAAGCGGTGGAGAAGAAGTAGGACCTCTACGGTGACCTGCATGCAGTAGTGCACAAGATCTTGGGAAGTTGGTGACATCCAAACACCACTGGATGTCATGGTTGCAGACAACACGGGAAGAAAAGATATCATGGAACGGAGGACTGTACGCAGACTTCTGTGCCATCAGTGATCCGATTATTTGAGATAGTGTATATTAACACGATGATATAGATGATACAATGTGTGTTTCCCCAGGTGGACACTGAAAAATCCACATCAGCGTATCAAAAACCAGATGAATTCTATTGCGATCTGAAGAAAGTATCGTGGCAGACTACTAGACAAAAGATCGGAAACGGGAGGATGTGTAGTTATACGCCTGTATCTGTTGTGTGAATTCAGTTTGCCTTTGAAATAGCGAGAGATAAACCTCTAAAAACACATTCGCTACAGTCATTAGAGCAAAATCGATGACTTTAACCAAGGAAACCTGTTCAAGAATGTTGTAACTGATGAAGGTGACGTCGAAGGAATGCCGCATGCACATCCTAGGCAAGAAGGAGAACCAAGTTAACGATAGGCTTTCTGCAGATTTCTCAAAGCTGACAGTAAAGATAAGGATCGTAAAATCAAACATGAACCAGAGCGAAGATGAACAACGAGTAAGGAGGCTGAATATAATCTACAAGTCACTGAACAAAGGAATGAAATTGGATGCCTGCGAAGAAAAAAGACAATTTCACGATACAGTGAAAACTGAAGTAGACCAAGCTGCAGGTAAAATAGATCTGAAAACATTACATCAGATAGCCAGGCCCCTAGCCACGAGAAATCAGTGCAGACGAAACCAATAGAAGACATTGGACGAAAGTCAGTAACCAAAGAGGTGGAACACAGGGAACGCTTGACTAATCACTTCAAAGACTTTCTGAATCGATCACCACATCAATCCTCCGATAAATCAGAAGTTTTGAAAGTCATAAAGTTACTGCGGGGTGAGAAAGCGGCATGACTGAATGGAATCCACGCAGTAGCATTGAAAACGAACCCGAGGATTTGAGCGGGAAAATTTAAAGCAATAGGCTGACGAAGACGGGACTCCAAGTAAACAAAGGAAACAGGTGGTGAAAATACCCAGTCAACAACATCACCAGCTTCACTTACGTAAACTGGACAGCATTTTCTCATCTCTAACCGTCACCTGTGAGGACATCAAAGCCAGTTAGGGTCTAACTGCAGATATACACCACTCAGTACAACGAAGCACATCGACATTTTGAACAGTTCTGATCACGTCTGTTTCTTTACCACCTTAACTTTTTATTTGCTTTTTAATCCGTCTTCGTCATGTGATCTGTTACATATAACATAAGTTTCAGCCTCATCTTTGACTCAGTATTGTATCTCCACTATATGTGAGTTATGGTACTAAAGCCTGTAATTCATTCATGCCTTTTAATTTCATTTGTTATGCATATATATACATATGTAAAAATATGAACCATTTAGTAGAAAAAGATGAGTAAATGATCAACTCCATGATTAAGTGAATTATTATTCAACATTGGTTAGATGAGATTGGTCAGCGTGATATCTAATAATCCAGACATTTTTGAACTGTGATGATTAACCCGTAATTGTACTTACCATGATCAATTGTCTAGCTGAAAAAACACTATTCAATTTGCCGTATATGTAAATTTCACTCAACTTTATTTCATTATTATTATTAACTTGACTTATTGGTGGTGAATATTTGTTGTTTAAGTTGAGTATTAAAATCTTTGAATTCTGATTGATATTTGAAGAATTTATAGTGATTTGATAATATTGTTGTTGATTTAATGATAATGATGATATTGGTAGGGATGAAGATGATAGTAATGAACTGAAAGTGTAGGGCAAGGCAGTCGAAGAAGAACAAGAATAAATATAATGTATTGCGGCACCAGTTTCCTTGTCAACCAATTGCTGTAAATCTACTTGTGAAATTTCGTTGAATAATACAGATGAATTGTAAGAATCCATAGGCATGTAAGTGTCAACCGTTGAAGTATCCTAAATGAGGATAATGAATATAATACAAAGTCACATCATTCAATTCCAATTCAGTTATTTAGATCTTAACAAATTTCATGTGATAATCAAGTCCTAGAAAGCTCACAGTAATCGCTATACAGGTGATTTGCTCATTCAACAAATCAGTAACCATCTCAGGGTGTTATATGCTACTAAATGACTGGTATGAGTAGTTAGATGTCACTCACATCAATGAGTACTGCTTGCTGGGCAGATCGAAGCGACCTAAACATCGAACAGCTGTATCACTCTTTCGAGGCCCACTTCATCAGTGGTGTACTGAGTTTGCATTTCAAAACACAGACATCTCGAGATTATAAAAAGGATTTTTAACTCATACTGAAAACGACTACAGTCTTCAAATAGACTGAGTGTAAAACTGAACCCTATTTCTATCAAACGATTTAAACGCAATCTGAGTATACACAAAGTAACCGTGACTAATCTCACCGTGTTCTAGTAATAAATACTCAACCTATTACACGATTTCCATTGAGAACACGCGTTGTGAGTTTGTGTTCTCTTTCCTACTACTGTCTTTTTAACCCACTGATCTTAACTTACTCATTTGTTTCAGAACACTTAGAGGCGCTTTCCTCTACACTATTGCGTAACTCCTTCCCGTATTTTGCTGGGTGAACAGTCTTCCATCACACCATACTGCTTTGTTTGTGCTTTCGTAAAATTGCCACTTGTTCTGTTTGTTGGGGAGAGTGGGAAGTGTAGATTCCTACTTCATTAATCCTATGAGTATTTTAAGCTGCCTGCAAATGAAGAGAAGCCTCGAAATAAGACGTTCACATTTCATACTGCAAAACATTCTGTTTCCCTTGACGAAGATGGCCAAGAGAACACGTTATATGAACTATTTCAAACTGCATACATCTCGTTCCCCTAGATAAGTTTCAACAGTGAAAGGTCAGATTTGCAGTATAAAATGATATCATTTTATTTCACAAGTTCTAATCATCTGAAAACTACCTGAAATTACAGGGGTTGTAATTAATGACAATAACACCATTTCAAATGTTTGAACAGTAGTAAGGAAACATTTTGAAATCAACGCAGCCGGAATATAAGCATCACACCTTTTGGTTTAAGTTGCCATCACTTTATATGCTCTCAAAATAGAAGGGAGGATAGGAAACAGAACAATCTTATAAACAGTGTTAACATGTAGGCCCACATAGCAACTCAAGAAGGTTATACAGTTGATAAAATTGGAAACCTGTTCAGTCGGCTGAAATAACTAATATGGATGACTAATCAATCTAATCGAAATGCAGTTACCAAGGCAGTGAGATTGCTCATACTCTCACTCACTCTCCCTCTCTCCCTTTCAAATTGTCATATTGTGCAAAATAATCGTTATCAATGTTCCATTTTCGTTCACATGATGACAAAGTGGAAGGACAAACAGAATAATGAATAACTGCTTACCTTATTCTCACATAAATATCTATCCATTAGAACATTTACAGCATTTTTAATACTGTTTGAATTGATTGCTGATGCTTTAACACTAATTATACTTTTGCAGTTATTGAGGGGATAATTATTACGGAAAACAATTTGTACATTGAATATTCGTTGCATATTTTCAATAAATGGAGAATTTTGATTAGCTATTAACTGTTCATGGTTTAAATGAGGTATTTCAAACGTGAATGTGATTGGTTGCTTATCCTAAATGAACAAAAAACAGGTTTGTCAATGTCATATGCATATATATATATATATATGTTGTATATATGTATATAAATGTTTACGACAAAGTGTTTTTCCTTGGTCAGGTAGTGCATTGACCAACTTTCAGGCATCTAAGCAATCTCAAGTTCCAACACCGTGTTGGATAAAATCAGTAATGTAAAAGTAATGTATAGGGATAAGCAAAAGAGGTAAGAAGCCGATTGTCAACACTTCTCATCTTCTATTTATTTGTCATTCAATCTGAAAATCATTCTTAGTAATCAGTGTGTAATTATGTTATTTTTTATGGACAAGACTATATGCGACTAATAATAATAATAATAATCACTTTATTCTAAACAACAATAATAATTATACAGAATGGAATTTTCAGCCTTTTTATACATATCACAACAATTTAGCTCCTTTTGTAAAAAATATGTACATACAGAAAATTTAAAATAGTAATAATAATAATACTAGTATTGAAACCACCACTATAAACAGAATGTTGGTGGAAACACAATGAAGTATAAGTAGTGAGTGAGTAGTGAGATAATACATTGGAAAATAATCTCTGCTTATACTTTGCAATTCAGATTACTGATTCGAAAAGTTTATAAGTTCTTTCCTGACATCTGACTCTCTCTTCACACAAAACCTGTGCTAAATATGATGGAGTAGTAGTATTTGCATATTTAGTGGCTGTAGGAGCGTAGATTCTTTTGAAGTTCATTCTGCCTTCACCCGGAAAGATACCAGGCAGAAGTTGCGAATAAAGGGGATGTTCTGTATCAGACAAGATAACTTTAGCGAATCGCTTGCAAGAATTGAATAGAAGTGCCTATTGAAAATAACGATGACAGTCAGCTGAGTCAAGGGCACACCACTAACCTTACTTACAGTCTTCAATATTCTATGTACGTAATATGACATAATCTTTTTTGAGAGGTCTAGGGAAGAATAATGATGGTGAACAATGAAGGAGAATGGGTAGAATACATGAATTGATAAATTCTAAGACATGAGGCTGAGTTATGATGCCAGATAGTCTCAACTTCTTTGTGTAATAAGTCAGACGAAAAATATTCTAAGAAATCAGTAGGAAATGAGATGACCAAGAGAGAGAGAGAGAGATTCGCGGAGAAAAACTGTGATGCCGAGATGACAGATATTCGATTCACTATACCAGACTACTACATTTGTCAAGAAACAATAGTAAGACTCTTTATTAACAGTCTCTGAAAGCCGAAATAACTTCTTTATATACCTTGTCACTCACTACTACCTTTTATGTCTTGAAGCATCTCCACTCTTGTGAATATTCATTCTCATTGCATTGAACAAATGAACACACATCAACTGTAAATAAATACCGCTTGTATTTTAATCGACTATGTTGATCGTTTGAATTTTTGAGTATTCTAGGCAGTTATCATACACACACACACACACATTAGCATACATTTTTATAGTTTAAATTTAAAATGCTGGTTACATGATAAAACTAAAAACTAAATCATGCACCGCACCGCACCGCATCGAATTTCTTTTCGTTTTCAGCAAAATTAAAATGATACTATAATTAATTGACTAAATAATTAAATAATGAATGAGTATTTTCAAAAGAACAACAATTCGGAATTCACAATTACCGAGAAGTTAGTTATTTTTGTATTTGTGAACATTCCAAAGAATTAAAAATGATTTCCTAAGTCAAACTGTCCCTTTGGAATTTCATGAAATCTCTTTCGAAATATATGACTAACAAACGAAGGAGAATTATTCAAATCAATTCGATTTTTTTATTTCAAAATAAAACAAATAACAACCAGAGTCAGAGCGGTGAAACACAAGAATGATTATATATGCTACTCAATGATGACTGGTTGTGGAAGGCATAACTTGCAGTTTTTCCCCCATTGTTAGTACTACTTTTCTATTCCAGTGATTATTATTATTATTCCCAGTGAGACATTGTGTGCCAACCTACTAATGCCACTTACTAATGAGTTGTGTCTTGCGTAACATGTTGTAGTTGTCATTTAACAGTTCCTCTGGATTCTTATTCTTTATATGGCTTATGGGTATTTATCGATCTTTATGAAAATACAGTCCGTGTGTCCTACAACTAAGCACACTAATGGATAAGATTATGGCGCATTTATACGTTCCTGTCCCGGTGGGAACAACACCACCTTTCAGCCTGCACTGGTAGCCTGCTTCAATCACTGGGACACCTAATTTCCCACACAGAGCAAAATGCGTCAAGTTCGCTCGATTTCACTTCATTTTAACCATCGAACTTCATCACTGAAGAACAGTCTGTACTCACACGCATTTATCAACGGCTTTCGATATAAAGCTACTAGATCTACTATTATGAAGGGACAAATCTGTTTCTTTCAGATTGAACAATACTCCATCAAACGAGATACTATTAGTCAGTCACTTTTACTTGAAGAATTTGTACAACCAGTGAATGAAACACACTGAAAATGTTTTGGTGCTATATATAAAAATAATGCTCAGAATAAAGCTACTATTATTACTATTATTGTTGTTGCTGTTGTTGTTATTCAATTATTAACAGTGCCAACCCTCACCAAAAATTCAACATGTTATGGTGAAATAGGCAATATGTAAGCTACTGTGTTAGGAGCTCATATAGTTAGTTATTGAGGTTATTCTACATGGTTCAGCAAAATAATCCAAAGAAAATCGAAGGTGTCAATGGAAGAAAAATGGCTGTCTATTACTACTAGACAAATATAGTGAAATCGAGAAACACAGACTATAGGATTGCGAATTACTCTAAGATAGCAGCTACTAGCCAAAAGGAAAATAGTACAAAGATCCCCATTTAACAGTAACTGTTCTCCAACCACTTTCATACAGAAAAGGTAATGGCTAAAGTTGAAAATTCGAATTATTCGAAGACTGAAACCACAATGACGTCATGCCCACTAATCAGCTACTTCGTCAAGGGATATAAAAATCAGCTTTTTACCCTGCTTCGACTTCTTTCTATTCGACGTTCTGATTATGCCATTTTAAAAAAGAAAAATCAAAGTATCCACTTTTTTACAGTATTAGACGCTGATGGTGATAGACCGACAGGTGAATACAATCACCACACAACTTAGCATAACTGACTTGTGATCAAGGTTTAGTCATTTTATCTGAAATTAAACGAAAAATGCAAACCGTAAAGTCGAACATCACAGCCACATCACATCTCAGCCATACTAATTATTGTATTGAAATAGAAGGAAGTTTGAGCACTGACTATTGACTGGAATTTCAATGAATTATAGGAGCCTTAAGCAAGAACAAGGAGTGCAATCGATATTTTGTAATAACACGTGATCTAGAACTCATTCAAAGAAACACTGTCTAAATACGCAGACGAATGTATTGTTATAGGAGTACAAAACTCGTCATTTTCAGAAATAACCAATAGGTTAAGAATGAGACATGCATAAGTCTAATCAATGAGATGGCGATTAGACATTACGGCATAACTGAGTAATTTTCGTACCTGTTGGTTTTTATCTCATTGTCGTCACTGGATAGAACAACAAATCAGTTGGCTTATCCAATCAGGTTCGGAACTATATATATATATATATATATATATATATATATATATATATATATGTATATACACGTATATATGTATATGACCAAACTTACTCTAATTCTTCTTCTAGCTATTTCAACATTCTGTAATTGGCCAGATATGGATACGTGATTACTCTTATCAGCAAAAACTTTTCTATTTGAATCTGGAAAATGTATGTGACATTGTGTTTCCATCATAACTGCTTGAATATTATCACCACGATGACCAATTAGACGACTGTGGTCAGTATGTGACACAGTAATTTGCAATAGGACGCGATTCGTCATTTTATCGGATTGATCTCCTTTATAATTCAAAAAAGAAAACAGAAAAAAGGAGTAGAATTCCGTTTATAGAAAGTTTGCTCTAATTAATTCATTAATTAATCGATTTTTTCAACACTTCTTCAACATTTGATTAACACTTCATGAAACGTATTTGGTTGGTGGTAGTGGTGGTGGTGGTGGTGGTGGTGGTGGCTATCAGCGAACTCCCAGATACACGCTAACTGAATTCCAACAGTCACGTTTTCAATAAAGCCACCAAGATAGTCGACCGACCACCACCTTTCACTTTGATTTCATCTAAGGTCTTCCAGTCAATTGCTTTCAACAATCTAATATCATAAGTTATTTCACATTGATTCGACCTATAAAACCAAGCCTAAACATTATTCTAGTATGTATCAGGCAGCCTGAAATACTATGGGATTCTTCAGTTCTCATTTGATTCAAGGGGTCGGAAATATCATCAGATCATGAATTCAAAGTTGGTCTGAACGAAGCATACCTTTTCCACTACAACTAAGTTGCTATATTATTATGAAAACAGACATTCTACTTTATAACCGCAAGAGTCTGAAGAGAATTCGTTGAAATGTCTTGAGCAAATACACTACACGATTCAGACAAATCACGTCTTTGTATTGCTTTGTCTAAATTCATAAGAGGAACTAATCTTTTTAAAGAAAGATTATTCTCCACTCAGAGAGATAGTTGTGGCAATTATTGACTTGGAGATTTCCAAACCCTCTTATCTCTTGGAAATTATAATTTTTACTGCAAAATTATGAACAGTGCTTAAGTCATAAGCTACCTGATTTTCCACCCACCAAAATGCATTTGATTTACTCTTTCACGTTTTTCAAATGATTCAATTACATCTTTGAATCACAATCTGCAATTACGCCGCCTTTCAAATGGGTTTCGGTCAACCAGTATGGATTTATTTGAAGGGAATGGAGAAAAAGCGAAGGAGGTTATTAGAGTGTGCTTTGGATAGAGCCACACAGCTTTAAGTGGTATATGACAGATTATTAATACAAGTGAAGTTTCTACACAGGGAGTATATTCTTTGCAACAGAATATACTGATAATCTTGCACAATGCATGAATGCGTCTTTTAGAATAAATAGTTATAATTATTATTCTGATCACTGAGAAAGACAATCAAACTGAGGTATGATTACCACCAAATCTGATGGTTATTGGTTCAATACAAACAATTATTTGCAAATGAAACAGATCCGGGTGGAAATATATCACTGTTTCCTCTAAAAACTCAAAACTTTAAGATTACAATCTATGTGTGTATGTGTGACTTAACACCGTAAACAACAATCGAGAAAACAGTCAAAATAGCAATTCTGATATACATAGATATGTATTGGTAAGTGACATGAGTAGTTAGAAATTAACCTAGTCTTAATTGGATTTTCACTGGAAAATGTAGGGGTTCAGACACTGAAGGTTCCAAACACGCTTCGTCTAAATAGTCCCACCATAGACAACTCCTAAAGTCTTCACTTTCAAACTATAATAATACACTTCTGTTCACAAAAGTATCATGTCAGTAACCAATTCATCAAAGTATACACCTATTCAATATAAGGATGAGACTTGGGCACTGTGGTACAGTATAATTCCATTATGGATAAAATTTATTTTGATGATAAAGTCTCACAGTGTTATAGAATAACACTTGCTAGATTTCCAATAGCCAGCAACCAATACCTCTTTTTTTAGCTCGCATAATGCAAAGATGCAAAACAGATTAAATACTATACACACAAATGATTTAAAATTCAAGAAGTTATATCACTCACCTAACAAATTTTCAGTTCGATTATAAAATTCTGACACATGTAGGTTTCCGAAAGCACAATGAATATGTCCTCAAATAGGGAGAACAGTAAATTAACGATCGAAGATTTCAAATGGACAGACATGTAACACTAACTGGCCTTATTAATGTATTATTTTTATGTTTATTTGTTAACACAAATAATAATATCATAACGTCCAATCACGGCCCTTCATCTCATGTCACCTCATGCATGCTATTGGCTAAAATACGACAGTCTCATATAGTCTCATTCTATCCAACACATTAGATAGACACATTTTGTGTATCTGCATTTCAAATTTTGTAATTTCCATTTAATTTTAAAACATTAAAAATATTTATATATACTTCCTCATAATGAGAAGTGTGATGTGTGTACAAAAAATAGACTGAATTATTGATTGTCTTATAACAGATGATGTATAAAAGTACATGAGGTTAGGCAGATGTCATTAACGCATAGACAGACATCACCTTTCATTAAGGTCGGTCAAGTACTTGAAATTCTAAAAGGGAAAGCATAATATCAAAAGAGAAACAGACGTCACTAACAATGGTGAGAAGAATAACACTATAGAGATTAGTGAAGCTTTTAAGGATTTGGAATAATAGCATGGCATTTGAACAGGGCTGTGTACCACTGAGAACGACTTACAAGACATTACAAAGAAGAGCACTTTTGAAACAAAAATTAATTACAAAAAATTATTATTCATCTTTTTTTCAACTATATACATATTCTATATTTAAACTTCCTATAGGATACATTATCGATCATTCATCACGAAGTATCAATTGAAGTTAAAGTTAGACGGTTCTATGCATTGAAATAAAGATACAAGAAAAGTCTTTGTCGGATAAGATGAATTTCTTTTTTATTGTATACGCTTTTCCTTATCTCGAAACCACCTAAATAATAAACTACACAACCGGGTAATGTGACTATTGAAAGAACTTTACCTCAGCAGCCACAAACGGAGGAGACATAATAGTCGTGTAGGAATTAAAATGATCAGTCAGGATCAAGACAGGAACATGATAGGATGTTAAGATAAGAATGTTCTGAAATTTAAAGGCAATTCAAAAAATAACTAAATCAATAAATCACTAAATGGAAATGGTCACCTGGTCATTTGAAGGGAGAGAGGTCTAAGGTCACCAAGTTATTAATGACGTTAATGAGAATAAAGATGAATGCAAACATCAGGTTGCGTATTGTCTATTCATTTCTTTCTTTCTTTCTTTCTTTTTATTTATTTTATAAGGATTACTTCTGTCAGAAAATTATTAACACGTCTCCTGATTTATCATAAAATACTACTTCGTTTTTTTCAAATACACAACGTACATGTCTGCTTTTCATATTACTGGACACAACTAATTCTGAATTCTTAAAGAATGCATGCTGACAAATTAACTGTAAATAGTAGAAATGAATAAAATCTAAAACTATTTCAGAGATTCTATCTGACTCATTTTTATTATGAAGGTAGTATACTAACTTATCGATTGGGCATATAAAGGCAAGTTACTAATTTCCCCGAACAAATATAGATAGTAGTCACACTTAGCAGGCAAACAAACTTATCAGACAACAGATCAATCATGACTCTCATTCAGCTGTGTCCGAATTCTAGTTCACTAGGATTCATGTTTGTTTGAATGTGGCCGAACCGATATAAAAGAAGTTGGAATGCTTTAGTTAAAAGCCTTACATCATCAGTCGAGAGGAATACTCCGGTGATCCTGATTTGGCTGTATCATAGTGGCGCGAGGGTATCCAGTATCTTACTGTATATATATACATGTACATATATACATATACATATATACATATATATATGCATATATTAAATCAAAATCTAGTTTATTTGTACTTATTAAGAGTACCGAGTTTTTCTTCCGTAAACAATATCACTGGTGTGTTCCAATCGGGAATCAAAGATTAGCTAGACATTCATCATTAATAACCAAAGAACACTGTTTGTGATTAGTTTTCGAACTGTTCCGCGGTTATCTTCTGCTCTTTAATTTTCAAGTATTGGTTTGTTAGGATTTGATTGATTGGTTACGGGAAAATCAATGAGATGCTCACTAGCGACTGGCTCTATTCAGGTAGGTAGTTACCTGGGGTTCTAGTGGGATGTCGTGACCAGTAGGGTGCAACATGTCGGGTGTGAGAACAGAAACCCGCTGAAGACATTGGCTAGCGGTCGCGCTATGTCGTGAATTGGCAGAAGTAAGAACTCATGGGGTGGTTATTAGATCGGATCCAAGTAGCTTAAGGGTCTACGAGCTCTCTCACTCGCCTTGTAGCCAGAAGGTCCTGGGTTCGAACCCTGGCGGTGAGTGTGTACTGCGGAAGAGTTCCAAAATAGGACGGAGGAGACAGCTGTCCACTACTCCCTGCCGGTTTCCCAATGGTTCTCCAACCAATGTCAGCTCATGATGAAATCCTGTAACGCTCTCTGCTTTATTCTCAACTCTAGATGATTTTTGTTTATGACAGGATCTACATTCTGTATGTGTATTGTGCAATATAACTAGAATAACTTTGGAAGGCAGTCCGAGTTAAGCGAGTTTAAAAGTGATAATGATCATAGTGTGTATAATACTGAAGAAGATGATGATGATGATGATGAAATGTGTTGATTTGTATATCAGAAAAATTGAATAATTAAATGTTAAAAGGAGGTGAAGTGACTTCTGCATAATTCATATTGCAGGCGTACTTTCTATGATGAATACACGTTTAAAATGTTTACTTAATAGTAAGAACAGTGAAAGAAAGTGTTATAGGCAAGATAAACAGAGATAGAGAGAGACATGTTACCTGAAACTGATGTGTGCATCGATATCTTGTCTCTTAGTTTGCTACACTACAACCTTGATTGGTCCATTTTCTACATAGTGTGGTGGTGTTATACAGACAATGTATTCCGACGGCATATTATTCTCACATACTCCCACAGTTCAATACGGCATTAGCAACAGAATACTATACATGTATTTGAACCTTCTATTTGTTGGCAGAGTAAGAATACCTTCCCTATAGTTCAATAGGGTATTAGCAACAGAACCCTATATATACATATATATATATATATATATATTTCAGCATTCTATTTCATGTCGTTTAATGTAAGCCAAAATCACACACTGA